CTTTGTTCTCTTGATAAAATGGGGCCGCGGGAGCCGGGCCACCCCAAGCCTTTAGGCCTGTGCCTAGGCCAGGAGTGGCCGGGGTCCAGGAACATGACAGAGGGTGCAGGTCGGCTGAGGGGTCTGGCCCCACCCCTCACCCTCCCCCGCAAGTGTACAAATTTTTGTGCACCGGCCTCTAGTATATATATAAAAGAGATTCGAGGAAGAGTGGAAGTGATATCAGCCCCTATGGGAAGAATTTTAAGGAGTCCACTGGTGTCCGAAGTAGAGGGAGTTGTAGTAGAATTGAAAGAGGTGATGTAACTAGCATAGAGAAGTGAGGAAAGAGAACAAAGACTACATTTTCAGTAAGTTTAACCAAAGGGAAAGAACAAAACAGGATAATGGCCTCATCAGGTGGAGTGTAGAACATGAGCTTATTGACCAGCCACGAGATGACTCAGTTTATCCTTAGAATTCCTTTGACTAGAGCCACCTATTCACAGATAAGCACTGCAATTAAAGATCCCCAAAGAACTTATCTTGAGAAATAAAGCATATTAAAATAAAAAGAATTCTTATTGCTATAAAATAAAGACATGTACTCATGAATTGCTTGCAAAATTGTATTTATTTTTCCAGATTCAGTCAACAAAAGAACAAAATGCCTCATAATGAGAATTCACTTTTGGATAGAGATACAGTGTTTCATTATTCTCACAAGTGAGTGCTGATTTTTGTTCACTTATAAAATAAATACCCGCCTTTTACAACTGGAAAGGTAATGTTAACATTACTTGCTCATTGAGGATGAAGATTGATAGCACTTGTCTGAGCAAGAACATGCTGTGATGTGCCTGTATCTGTAAGACAAGGTTTTGCCACCAGGACAGTCAAGAATGATGTCTCTGAACTCATAGTTTTCTTCTCGGCAGCAAAGGCAGGAATTTTCCAACTGAAAGATATCATAATTGTACCTAAAAAATAAAATATCCAGTAATTAATATTTTTGGAGTGTCTTTGGAAATAAATTGACATCAATGCTCAACTACTAATTGTCTAAGTGATTTACCAAGCCTCCCAACCAATTTATTTTTTCCCCTACACCTTGTATTCCTATACGTTTTTGATGTAGATCAGTGATAAGTGGTAGTAAGATTAAAAAAAAAAGGAGGAAAATAAATTCAAAATGGAGATTTATAATCTCATAATTAGAGCATTATGCTGCAAAAAAATAAATAAAAATGATTTTAAAATATGCAGTTTAACACCCAATCATTATTCTTCATAAATTAATTTACATGTGTAAGTGTACATAAAGGAAAAAATGTAAAATGTTATATCTAAAATGCATGTGACAGTTTAAAAATACACTTTCAGCAAGAGTAATTGCTTAAGTACTCTCTGTAATCACTGTATGAAAATAAATACATTTGCCATAAATGTATTAGATATGATATATAGAGAAAGCTACTTCAAAATGATTCATCACTTATTAGGATTCTCATATTCTAATATTTTAAACATTAAGGTTCTGATCATTAGCTAGCATATAAAAGTTTTTCATGGCCCAGGCCAGTGTGGCTCAGTTGGTTGGGTGTCATCCCATGCACCAAAGATTGTCAGTTCACTTCCTGGTCAGGGCACATGCCCCCAGGTTGTGGGCTCAGTCCCAGGTAGGGGTTATGCAGGAGGTAGCCAATCAATGTTTCACTCTCACATCAATGTTTCTATCTCTCCCTCTCCTCTATCTCTAACAACCAATAAAAAATCTCAAATGTTTTTCCTATATACTGTTTTAAAAGTTTCATGCCTTAAAAATATTACAAAATTAACATACAGTACATGTTCCAAGAAAAACTCACTTGATGGTTTGTTTGCATTCCCCTACGCATCTTGCCATCTCAAGTCTTTTCCTGCAACCATTGTACTTAACAGTCACATTGACGAGTGAAGATCTGCAATTAGTATTACCTAAAAAAAAAAGAATGGATCCGAGAGTCAGAAAGATTTAACATTAACAATTGCTAAGTCTCAGCTTTCTTAACCATAATTAGAGTATAATAATAAATACTTGATAATTTTACTGACGAGATTATCTGTCAGCACTCAGCAGAAATGACTGTCTCATACTCAATAAATGTTATCTTATTGTTTTGCTATTATTCCTACCATAGAAGGAGAAGAGGAAAGAAGGAAGAGGAGGAAGGGGAGAAGGAAGGAGTAAAGAAAAGGGGGAGGGAAAGGAAGACAGAGGGGCATGGTTATTTTTGTTATCTATTTATTTTCTCATTGCTGATCATTCTTATGATTTAATATATCAATTTACAACATAACCAGCTGATGTTAGATGAGAGCAAGCTAAATTTCTTTCCATGAAAATTATTTTTTCCTTGTAAACCTAACTAGTTTTGTTACAACCAACACAAATAAGTAACTATCGTATATTATGTGCAAATATCCATTGTCAGTTTATGCATATAGATTAGAATACCTATTGTGTTAAAAACACGAGACTTTCTTTTAATGATCTGCCATTTTGTTTAAAGAAGCTAAATTTTTTCAACAGTTTATATTGCCTCTACATGTGGAGCTTAATTTTACTTACATTTATAGCAACATTTTTTTGAATCATAGACTCGGTCCGCCTATATGGGTAAGAGAAAAAGAAAAAAGACTGACATTTTCTATAAATAATATAACATTTTTTAACTTATTGAAATATTATTTCAAGGGGGGAAAATGGAACCGATGAACACCTCAGGCTCAGTTTCAGGGAGCACGGATGGGAGACAGTAGTAATAAAAATGAGACAGTATTTACACTAATTTTTGCAACAGTGGGTTGAAAGGGAAAAACAATACTTAAATGAAATTTTCTTTAAAATAAAATGCAAAGGAATAAAAAAACACCTCTTACTTATTGTAATTGAAAAATACTTTAACAGTGATATTACTATCAGACACTGTAAGTTTCTCACAGGCAGGAATTTTTACCTCACACATTATTATTCTCTTAAACTTATCAATGTCTCAGGATAAAAATGCAATAAATGTGGAAGTCCAATATTAAAGTTCTAAAATAAAGCTTTGAACTATATTATTAATTATATCTTCAAAGAAAAATAAGCTTAAACCTTTCTTAATAACTTACATTTAAGTATTTATTAATTCAAAATCCTCACCACATTTGAGCACCATAAAAATAAAGATTGTGGCACTAAGAAAACTCTGAACAGTAGACATATGGAGTTACATGAAGTTTTTGTATTTTTGTAGAAAATTATTAGCTTGACTCTATAAACCTTGATAACAAACTAGGTGTTTTTTTTTGTTTGCTTAAAAATAACAACATGCTTTCCACAAAAACTAACTTCTTCTAGAATAGCACTAGATTAAATTTTAGAGAGCCTGCAAATATATCTTTGATATGAAAAATATACATGATAATAAAAGGTGAATGAGAAATCTGGAATGAAGTCTATAAGAGATCTATTGGCCAGATATAAATTTTTCCAAATGAGAAAGAAGACAGGTTGTGTTTGTATTGAACATGAGAAGTGAACCTTGTTGTTGTGCTACTTGAGAAGGTGACTTACTTCTGCACACCAGGTCTGCTTGGGGCAGTTCTCGACCACTGCACGGAACCCAGTTGTGTCGCAGAAGTAGGAGACGCATGGGTTGTTGGGGTCATCAAAGAAAGCACCAATCTGGGGGGGAGTGGGAATGGGGAGAAAACAAAGTAATTAGTCACCTTGATTTCTTTTTGCTGTTGATAATAAAACCTGTATTAAAAAAAATCAAAATTCATGATGGTTAGTGAATTTCCAGAGCCACGTTCAGACATTAGGTTAATATTTAAGAAAAGGTGGATTGAAAGCCTTCTACTTCCATCAAAGTTAATCATTGATAGCACAGAATGTGTCAAGGTTCTCAAATTAAGATCTGCATACAGTTACTCTGTTGTAGTTTTTAAGTGTTTTCAAGAAAGGTTATTTTATTTGTAGCAGTCAATTGACCGGTTTTTATGCTCTAAGTTTAAGAGGAAACAAATCGAAAATCCAAATAGAGGGGAAGGGCATAAAATGGGTTTATCACAAATGACAAGTAACATCTTCTGTCTTTGCTTGTGTTTCTATACTATTTTCTTTTTATTGAATTTATTGGGATGACACTGGTTAACGAACGTCTACAGGTTCAGGTCATATACTTTTAAAGCTCTCTAGATTGCTTTATAATTAATTTATGTTCAAAATTCAAACACCAGTTTGGGAAATTGCATTTCTTTCAAGGCCTAAAACTACAAAATAAACTTTCTGGTGGACTAAAATTTTATTATTTCAATTGTTTTGCATATAAATGCATAGAGGTCAAATGTTTTCTTTGTTCTTTAAACATCATCATATTTTATGTTTAAAGACTATCATAAATTCTCAAGTCAGGTCACCTTTGGAAACTAAAAATTAAGAAACTAAAAACTGAGTGTGATAAATAAGTTACCAAATTAAAACTCTCATGGGCTTTGCTTCTGTGTATTTCCTACCATACCACATATACTTTATTTCAGATTTTTTAATATTTAGTATCATCAGTTAAAATGTATTAAAGTCGTTTTGAGAATCATCTGGTTTTTATGGCTTCCTGGTACTTTTTCTAAGATGTTAAATTACTTTCCAAAACGCCAAATCAGTTGTCAAAACCCACCCCTGTACGGCTATATTCACATAACGGGGTTCTAGTCTTTGGGGCTTTCTTATTTGATTTGTGACAGTTTGGCCATCTGATCTTGCTGGTTATAATTACAGTTTAACTCTGTTCATTGATTAGAATGTTACAGAGTGTGTCTTCTCCATCTGGCAAGCCCTCTGGGAAATATTATTCAGAAGCTCTGATGCTAGGTAGTTAATGACCAAGGATATTTTCTCCCTTTGAAGGGAGCCATGCTGAGTGTTACATTTGACATTCATTTTCAAAGTTGAAGATAGGGGAAAAAATTCCTCCCCACAGTTGACTATGAAATTTTCATGTCATAAGCTGAAAAAGGCTGCATTTGTTCATAATTATATTGATAAAAATAGGATAAAGTAAAAAACGACCTTACCTCATAGTTGGTATCGTTAAATAAACATGTTCTTGGTTCTGAAAAACAAATATATTATTTTATCCTAAAGTAAACATAATTATTTTTATTTATAAAACAGAAATTGTAAATGGGATAGAATTTATCAACCAATCATAATGGTCTTCCCATAACATCATCATAACTCTTTAATCTACTGATTATGTTCATAGCTGTTAATTCGGGGTTTCCCCATTACAAAGATAGTAAATTTTAAGAGGGCAACTACTGATTCTGTTTTATTTATCACACCTATCCTGCACAGTAATGATCATTTGGCAGCCCAATAAATATCTCTTGGATCGGTAAGTAAACAACTATTCAATGCAATTCAAATAATGGTTTATGAATACACACCACAGTATCCAATTTCACAGCAGGTATCATTATCCTTGAACTTTACAAGCCTCTCTTCAGTTTTGCATGTGGGGGGAGAAGGGCACTCCTTGGGTTTACAGTCCACCGTATTAGCATTGGTACAGGTGCATCTGTGGCAATTAGCAGTCCATGTGTCTCCAGGCTACAGAAACAAACCAGGTTTAGACTTTTACTCCAATACAGGAGTGACAGCAAATTTGGATTAAAGTGAAGAAGAACTATGTACTTACTGATTTCTCTTCTCCCAGTGGACCATGGCAAACTGTTAACATGAAATGATAAACGCTAATTAAATTTGGCAAAATATAACCATCTGTTACTTGTAGATAACCACCAGGTGGCCAATAGTGTAATTAGCACTACGATTTCAGAGACACAGAATTATGGAGGATTACAGTGCCTTTAAGTGGAAATAATCATATCCACCTACTTTGAACAAATTGTCCTGAAAAAGCATATATTTCCTATTTTTAGAAACCCCAGGAAATGAGAATTCTAAATTTCTCTTAGGGGAAATTTAGACTTTATAATGACCAGTTTCAAGGGCCTTCCCAGATTTTTAAGTTCCCTGCAATAGCTAACACTTGTAACTCTCATCTTGAAAATATTCTTTCAGATTCAACACTCTGAAATTCCTCTATCAGCTCTTTCTCTCGTCTTTCCCCTGGTACCTCCGCTCTCTCCACAGTGTCCACTATAACGTTAAGTAGATAACTCTCAAATTTCTAGCTCCAGTCCAGACATCATGTGTGAGATGGACCCAGATCTCATTCAATCTAATAAATAGCATGCTGGCCAATCTGTAAGAACCTTAAACTCAATATGCACAAAACAGATTGTATTATTTTGCCCTTAATACCAGTTTCTCATCTAAACATCAATGCAGAATGATTGCTCTTCAAGTGCAGGTATTCTTACCTGGAGGTGGTGGAAGTGGTGCTGGACAGCCTGTGTAAAAACAGACAGCTCAGATTAGTCCCTAAAGTCCTTAGAATAGTTTCCGGGTAAGTAGAGTTATCTTATTACTGAAAGTAATTGGCTCCCTTGCTAGCCGTACAAACAGACACATTCCTGTCTATTTTCCCTTTCTGCTCCTCTAGGCATTTGAAATTCCACCATTAGAGAGTATTCCCTTTGGATCTCCAATTTTAATGGCAGGCATATGAGAATCTAAAGGAGAAATGATAGCCATCAAGGTAAACTTCTCTTTAAAATTTTCTTGGGAGACAATTCTGATGAATACGACAATAAAATACATAATCAAAAAGAAAAAGAAGCCCTAGCCGGCTTGGCTCAGTGGATAGAGCATTGGCCTGAAGACTGAAGAATTGCAGGTTCGATTCTGGTCAAGGGCACATGCCCAAGTTGTGGACCAATCCCCCGTAGCGGGTGTGCAGGAGGCAGCTAATCAATGGTTCTCTCTCATCATTGATGTTTCTATCTCTCTCCCCCCCTCCATTCCTCTCTGAAATCAATAAAAATATTTTTAATAAAAAATAGAAAAAGAATAATTCATATATCTGAGAAATGTATTTATAATTACCAACTTATTTAATCCTTTAAAAACTTTTATCTTCTTTTTGTCTTCTTGAACTACTTCAGTCTTGCTCTATCTCTACCCTAACCAAATATTTTAAACTGGTCATATGTTTCTTTCTGAGGCTTTGCACATCACATATTTTAGTCAACCCAACAATTGCCTGATAAATTAAAATTCTATTTTCAAACAATTAATAATCAGATTAATACTTTTATTCTACCTACCAAGTAAAATGTCTGGCCTAGAAGCAAGAGAATATTTGAGAGGAACTTAAAATTTCTGCATGTTTAGGTAGAGAGATGCTAACAAATAATAGGTACAGAAAAACAGAAAGAAAATCAAACATGTGGGAGTTTGGGAGATCAAATGTCTCTCTTTACTGAGGGAGGTGACGCTAATCCCAAACTAAAAAAGTTTGGCAGGTTAACAGGAACCAGCAGCAGGAGAGAGTAATGATCTATGGGGCATAAATACAGCAGAAAAAAATCTTCCCTGAACGAGAATTCCAAGAGTTCATTGAAGATATTCATAAGAAAAAAACATAAAGAACAATCTGCTAATCTCCACCTTGTTATCAGGGTAATTTCTCTAAAACACCTATCTGATCATATTATTCTCTTAATAAAAGTCTAATAAAGATCCCAGTTAGTGTAAAGATTAAAGCAGTGGTTCTCATCTAATGAGGCCCAGAAATCAGGATTTTAAAAAGATTCCCAGATGATTCTAATGTGCAGCCAAGGTTGAGAACCACTGGATTAAAGTCTTGTTTAAGTTTGGAAATAAGGTCCTTCATGAACTTTCCTCTACTTACCTTTTCGATACCATTTCTTCCCTGAACTTCACACAGTCATCACCAATATCTGGTTGACTCCTGAATTCACTCATGCTATTTCATGCCTCTGTCTTCTCAAGGGCTATTTGGTAGAATTCCCTTCTCACTTTAGCCAATATTAAACTCAATCAGATCCTTTGTGATCCCTTCACTCAATAGTACCAACGAATAGATAGGTATTAACACTCTCCACTCCTTAGACCCCTGAAACCATAATTGCTGTACATGTTTATGGGTTAGCATTAAATATACTGTAAAGGTAGTTTTGGTGCCCATAATAATCTCCCCCAAATAATAAGGAAATTAGGATTTCTCCCATGCTGACCTGATTTATTTTCATTTTCTTATTCCATTTGACAGGAATAGCATATTTCATAATCTCATACTCAGAGGTTTCAAACTAAGAGCTTTATAATTATGTCTTCAGGAGAGGAGTTCTGGTGAAAGCCTAACCAAAAACATCCTAGAAAAAAACACACACCTAGTTGAGCTTCGAAGTCAAATTCCAAAAGGAAATTCAGCATAACTTCCTGGCCTCTCTCCTTTTCCTTTTCCACCACGCCTCTCCCCAAAACTCAGCTCCTTATATGTAATCACAGGCACACTGCTCAGCAACGAGTATGTATTGCCAGCATTTATATGGTTACATTCCAGTTCCAGAGGTTTCCTTGACTCTTGTGGAAGCAGTGACCATTAAAGAGGGACAACCATGGTGCATACAGTGGACGGGAGAAGATAGAGTTTAACTTCTGGTAACCTATCCTGTCTTTTGAGATGCCACCAAGCAAAGTTTGTTTATTATTATTTGGCTTACCCCTGGTAGAAATTCCAGAAGCAATGGTCGTTTCAGATGCTTCCTGGGAAGTACCTAACATGAGCAGCAAAAGAGCAATGAGCTTTTTCTGGTCTCAAAAGAGCATGTCCCAAGACACCTCTACATGGAACAAAGTCTCAAAGCACTTGGCATGTTCTCATGCATATACTAAGGCTCCTGCAATTGAACCATAAGAGGTTTCTATCTTAGCAGCTCCTTGCTCACAGAAATGAATATTTTCCTATGATCCTGGTAAATTTCACTTTTGAATTTCCTTCTCTAAGTGACAAAAACTTTTTCCACACTTCACTGTTTTATTTCCTATAACTTGGTTTCTTGGTTATCCTATAACAGTGTTAGGGGTACAGAAGTTATAGTAGAGTGAGAGAAAATGAGAAAACATCTCTGTTTATTAAGATGGCCTTAACATTTCCCTCAGCCTGATTAAACTTCAGGCATGCTTCTTCCTGACTACAGGTCCCTGAACTCCCTTTTCTTGGAGCCTTTATTTTTTAAAAACTTGCAATTATAAGTTATTTCTCTGAGATGCAAATATTTCTTCAGCTCTGGACAGTTTTAAAATCCTGGAATCTTTTTCAAAGACCTGAGAGCCATCCCCTTGACATGTAAACATCAAGAATAATAGCACCCTTATCTCCCTGTCTCTGTGGGAAGGTAGGAGCCTACTTTCATTCTGTAAGTACCAATTCGCAACCATCCATGGCCTAATCATTTAGACCAACCTCTCCCCTAATGGCCTGCCCTCCAGTACTTTTCCACCATTTCACCCCAGCACTTAAAAAACTCTCCTGCCTTTTGTTTCAGCAGAGTTGAGTTCAAAATATCACCCTTATTGCAGTGGTCTTGACTCCTATTGCAATAATCTGCACTAATAAAAGAGAAATATTCAAATTGACCATATCTCTGCACCACCCACGAGCCAATCAGGAGTGAGTATGCAAATTAACCCAACAAAGATGGTGGGTTAATTTGCATACACAGGCCCCAAGTGGATGCAGGCTTTCTGCACCATCCCAACTGCTCCAAGCCTCTGGACAGCGTGGGAAGGCAGAAAGGCGGCTTGGGCCAGAGCAAAGGCGGTGCCGGCGGCCAGGGAAAGGAAGGCCCATTTCTGCATGAATCTTCATGCATCAGGCCTCTAGTCTTATATAAAGTATTTCTTGCCTATTTAAGTCCACCTGGAACAATTTTTCTTTTAAAGTTCAAGTTGGATACTCATTCAAAGGGATAAATATTGGATAACTGAAACACGTGGGTGTTAAGGGAGAAGAATGTTTAGCATGTAAACTTTTTTTCAGTCAGTCTCTGTGAATTACAATAAACATCCCTTTGGGCAGATGAGGCCTCATGGATTTACACCTTGTTATAGGGACATGGGCTGAATTTTAACCTCTACTCCTCTAATTTAGTAATTAGATTCTAGAGGCTATCCCAGTGGCACCTGTAATAAAAGGGAAGGAGGAGCCTTACAAAGGTTTTCTTGCCCTAAGAAGAGTGTGATATTGACAAGTGTTCCTGTTTCTCTTAAGTAATAGAGAGCAGTTTAACAATTTTTCTTGCACCAAATATTAAGCCACGCATATTGTTCAATGCACTTTCTAATGCTTGCATGTCAAAAAAAACCCACAAAACGGAAGTAAAAGTCTTAATTTCCTCATACATTTTATTTCTCTAGATCTAGAATCTAATTACTAAATTAGGGAATGTTTGTCTTATAGTCACATGATTTTCTTCCAGTGACTTATTTCTCTTGTTCTCCAATGGAAGGAAACAAACAAATTTTTTTAAAAAAAATTTAATTGCTTCTAAACTTGTGATCAAGGATAAGGCATCTCAATCGAGGCCTTAATTTACAAATTTACTAACATCTATTGTAGTGATCTCTATTACCTTCTTGGATACTGATAACTATTACAAATATTGTTGTAGAATTCCTTACCCCCAGTCCCCCAAAAAAGAATAAAGTAAAAAAAATAAAATAATGTGTCTAGAGAATTACATATATAGGATGCTCTCTAGGAAAAATCAGGGCGCTAACCTAGGCAAGAAAAGCCCAAGAAGTATGAATTAAACATATCTACTAACCAGGACTAGAATTCCCTGGGCCCCTGGAAACTCCAGCAGACCCTGTAGTAGTACCTGCAAAGGCAAGATAAATAAAAGATTGAAAGTAATACATCATTTTCGGCTTCATAAACTCACATCTAAAAGGCTGGTGTATGGAAAAAAATAAGTCTGACAACAAGGTCCAAGTGTTATTGATCTGACATATTGTTTCTTCAAATAGAATACAAAACCCTATCTCAGCCATCTTCTCACTCATTTATCATCTACCACAAACTCGAACAGAAAATTATTGAGTACCAAAAAGCTGAAAGAGCAAACCACTTACCAGTTACCATTCCAACTCCAGTGGTAGTTTCAACTTCTGTAGAAGTTGTAGTCTCTGAGAAGAAATAGGAGAGAGTGGCATGGGATACAGAAATTAAAAAAAAAAAATCTGTAACAGTATTACGTTATGTACAATTCCTATGGCAGACACCAGGTCTCTAAAGATCATATGCCTCTTCAACTTTTTCATCACTCACTTGCGTTGGAACTCCCAGGTGCAGTTGTTGTGCCAGTAGAGACCTCAGTGGTAACTGAAATCACAAGAGGAAAGAATCTATTTGTAAATTCCCTTTGGCTTAAAAGTAGGATTTAATTTTGAATAAATTTGGGTTTCTTAATGAACTAAGAGTACTACATCAGCACTTTCTTGCCTTAAGTGACGCCATAATTTCTATTATGCCATTTTACTACAGATATACAAAGAAAAGGGCAATTTACATGGGATAAAGTACTAACATACTGAGAATTTGTGCTTGAAGAGAGATTTAGGTAGAGTAGTATTTCCACTAAGTTTATTATAGCCAATGTAATTTACTTTAAGATGAAGAGAAAAATAATTATCTGATTTCTAGTGCTTACCTATTTTCATTTCACCCTCAGTGGTTCCACCACTTTCCAAAGAAGTTGTGGCCCCTAAGTGAAAGAAAGAAAGGAGAAGAGTAAGTCCCATAACTGAGAAAAGTTTGGTGGTATCTCCAGGATATGGAAGGGAATGTGTGTATTTGGGTGGAGGAGATGATGGGGCGGAGACGGAAAGGGTACCTCCTCACTGAAGGTCCTTATATTCCCTATTTGATTATTGATTTACCTGTGTTGGAACTTCCAGGTGCAACTGTTGTACCAGAGACTACACCAGTGGTTCCTAAAGTAGAAGAAAGAAAAAGAAAATGCAAATGGTGATATATTGACCATCCTGAGAAGAGCATAACCAACAACAAAACTGTAACTCAAAAGTAGAAGACCCTTCTTTGGGTTATCCTGCCAAAATGAGGTGCATTCTCCATTTTTTAATTCAGGGCCACAATAAATACATACGCTTATAGTTCAGTCTTGATAAATTGCTTCCCTAGGATTAACTATCAAAGATTTCTGGGCCTTTCTCATGTTTACCTGTTTTACTTCCAGGACTTGACCTCTCAGATGTGCCAGTGGTGGCTCCTAATAACAAGAAATAGAAACATTTGTGTAAATGTATTTAATTATACTCAACGAAGAAATTCATACTATCTGAAATCCAAAATTCAATAGACCTAAACTTCCAAAGGTACTTCCATCATCTCTGTTTCTCTAAAGAGAACCATATGGACATATATGGCCTCCATCTGACACCAGGGTAATAGCTTGAATGTCACAAGGAGAAACCTTTCTGGGCATCTCTTTTAAGAATTATAGTATAAGGTTTGTCCAAAAGAAATAATATGGTTTTCATAAGTATAAGCTTCCTTTAACAAATATCCCCATGAAGAGGCAAAGGCAGACTATGAATTAGCAGGAACCCAAGAGTTGCCAATTCTACTTTCATTGGTTAGGCTTCCTTCTATGGAAACTGTAGCTTCTGAGAGTGAAAGGGAGTAGTGAGGGCTAGTGGAAACCTATAATAAAAAGGTATCATGTGGTGTTGCTTTAGAGCTAGCCCAAGAAAGAAATTATAGTACATGTTTCCTCATTGATTCACCTGTGTTGGAACTTCCAGATGAGATGGTACTGCCAGGAGCCACTCCAGTAGAACCTAAAAGCAAAATTGAATGACAACATTGTGTGATTTCATTCCCATAAGATTATATTTTAGAATAGAATTCGGAAATTACAAAATTCTTTATTATATAAAAAGACCACTTTCAGGAATAGCTTGTTCCAGAGTGATTTTATGCATTTCCTAATGTTGCATTCTGAATATAAATTTGTTGGAGGGAGAGTATAACGTGGGGTGGTATTGGGGAGTCTCAAAGATAATTTTCCTTTCTTTGGGGTCAATGTTCAATAGACAAAGGTATTTTCCTTTACCAATTGAATACCAGTGACCTGGCTACTAGATTCTCCTAGGAAAAGAAATGAAGCAGGATTGATGGCCTGTTGAATTTTTATTTGGGTAATGTATTGATGCTGTAGAAATTTTAATGTTCTAGAAAAATTTAGACATATAATAAGGAAATCTAGTGATATTGTATAATGGTAGTATAGTATCATGGTTAAGAGGATGGCCTTTAGAGCAAGACTGCCTGAGTTGAAATCTGCTGTTTATTTGCTGTGTGACCTTGGGAAAGATGGTTAATATCTCTGAGCCACAGATGTCTTCATCTGTAAAAAGAATAGTACTTACCTCATCGCTTGGAGTGAGAGATAAAAGAAATAATAATGAGACGTGTGTATGTCGAATAGTTAGCGCTCTAAAGTATTAGCTATGATGTCATTGAAAAGTGGAGAGCTTAGGATGCCTGTGAGCTCACCTGTATTGCTTCCTGTAGTTCCACTGCCTCTAGGGAGTGTTGTAGCTTCTAAGAGAGAGGAAAGGTAGACAAACATGAGCTAAAGAGCATTTAGCATTTTGACGAAAGTTAAGGGTATAATTTTCTCAATGACAGTACGGTGGGCAATTCTCCCCAGCTGCTGGCTCACCTGTGTTTGAACTCCCAGGTTCAAGTGGAGTGCCAGAAGTTACCCTAGTGGTACCTGCAACAAGGTAAGATGATACAGTCTGGTAACTTGGAATACTAGGAAGGGATACTGCAATAGTATTTCATTATAGCAGCCCCCAAAGAGAGGTTAAATAAGGGGTATTTCCTTCTTGTTAACCTACCTGTGTTAAAGCCTCCAGATGTAACAGTTGTTCCAGAAAACTCTTCAGTGGTACCTAAAATGCAAAATGGAAATGGAACAACAGAGTATTTCCTCCACAGTTCATCTTGGCAGCACCAAAGTGGCCCTAAAACACTGGAAGCCCTTTCCTGAAGATACTCTTCTCTGAAGAAAGTAAAAAATGAGCAACTTCACAGTATGTTATTTCCCAGGTTTCCCTGTCACTATGTGGTAATTAAATGTCACAGCAGGTTTTTAAATGCCCCTTACCTATTTCATTTTCAGGGACAAATGCACCTGGTGTGCCAGAGGTGTGTAAGGGAGAAAATACAGTACGGATTTAATCTTTATAAGTAATAATTTTTTATATAACGTAAGAGCATTTTGATAAGCAAGTTGCCTTTAGCTCTCTAGATGGGGAGATAAAAAACAAACAATAAATATTATGTATAAGTAAATCAGAGAGGGGATAGAAATTGGCAAGCTACTGGGGTAAGGAGCATTGGAAGTAATGGGGGGAGAGATATAGGAAATATACATTTATATCATTTTTTTTCAGGAGGGGTGGGGTGGCGGAGAAGAACATCTATGTAAGCGAGAACACTGAGGACAGACTGGCGGAGACATCTGAGGGTTTGGAGTTCCCAAGCAAAATAATTGTCAGGTTGACATCACAAAATATGGCTTCAGAGACAATGCAGGTTCCCCCTTCACACTCCTTATTCATTTGTTCACTGCAGCAGGCCAAATAGACAAAGGACGATAGATAGCCCTAGGCTTTGGACTAAGAAGCTTACCTCCTGGCAACCTTCCCTGCGTAGCCTTACTGCCTCCTGTGGAAGTTGTGGCTTCTAAGAGAAGGGAAAAAACACCTCTTGTTATTCCACCATCTTCTACAGAAGTCCTGGCCCCCAATAAAGAGGAAAAGAGAATAGTCATCATTGAAAATTATTTAAGGACCACAGAAAGGTAAGGTAGTTCTGCTACACAGGATAACAATAGAAGAGGAATCTCATCTGAAAGATTCCCTGCCACCTTGTTGACTTACCTGTGTTGGAACTGCCAGGTGCAACAGTTGTGCCAAAAGCGGGCCCAGTGGTGCCTGAAACACAAAAGTTCTGAGATCTCCAATGGGGATTCTTGGTCTCCTATACAGCTCCTAAAGAGCTGCCTATAGAAGTAATCTAAGTGTATCTTTGTTATATCAAAGGGCATTTCACTTTATCCTGATGAGTTGACAGTAATATACCTTTCCTATACTCCATACAACTAAGAAAGTAGTAAGAACTGCAATATCTCCAATGTAAGGCACGCTCTATAGACATTCCACTCACTTAAAATGAAGAAGAAAGCTGGGTTTCTCCGAGGCTCACCTGTCACACTCCCAGTTGCTTGGCCTGGTGGCAATGCAGTGGCGCCTAATGTGAGAGGAAAACCAGAAAACTATTTGAAGGTGCCAAAAAATACTGACTATCCTCATTGCACTTTTAAGCAAGCGGACCTATATGTAGCACAGGCTTAAGAGTTCACATTGCTTTCTCTTCTACCCACATATCAAATATTTCTTGGGTCTTCTATCATCTTAGTGATGCATATGCCATCAAAGAGGAAACCTCTTACAGGGATTTCACAAATAGCCATTCATAAGGCAGTTATAGCTGTGAGGCATGCCAGGCATTGACAGTAGCAGGCATTGACAGTTTATTACTACTATGTTAAATCAAAGAAAATACTGAGTAAATACAAACATTTCTGCAGGAAAGAACACCTCCAAAATGGGAGCTTGTGGAGAGTCCTAATTAACAGTAAACCCCAACTGTGAGGTACTCATTCTCACCTGGTCTGGATCCTGTTTCAGGAGTGCCAGCTGAAGGAAGAAATGATAAATGATGATTTGGGAAATTAAGGAAAAAATTATTGACATATTAGATCAGAACAAGAATACTAACTACAGTATGGGGTTAAAATAGCCATTCATAAGGCAGTTACAGCATGAGCAGGCATTGACAGTTTATTACTACTATGTTAAATCAAAGAAAATACTGAGTAAATACAAACATTTCTGCAGGAAAGAACACCTCCAAAATGGGAGCTTGTGGAGAGTCCTAATTAACAGTAAACCCCAACTGTGAGGTACTCATTCTCACCTGGTCTGGATCCTGTTTCAGGAGTGCCAGCTGAAGGAAGAAATGATAAATGACGATTTGGGAAATTAAGGAAAAAATTATTGACACATTAGATCAGAACAAGAATACTAACTACCGTATGGGGTTAAATGTGAAGATTTCTTCTTGTTATCCTACCTGTGTGGGAACTCCCAGGTATAATAGTTGGCCTAGAGAATTTCCCTCGATAGGCCTGTTTAAGAGTTCTCATGGTTTGGGCTCCTTCCCAGAGACATAATATTTCTCAGCTACTCCTAACATCTTAGTGATGTGTATACCATCACAGGGAAAACTGCTCATTTTGATTCTAACACCAGCCCCTCTTTAGAATGTTACAACTGGAACGACTAGAAGCCAGTGCTGAGAGCTTTTCAAAATGTTACAGCTAAGACTGACAGCATGTGTGAACCACTCTGCAGGAGAGCACAGCTCCCAGCAGGCCAGGTTAACAATAGTCACATTTCCTCTTAC